TATTCTGCAGGTCCTGAGCAGAACATTTGAATTCATACACCAATTACTCTGAGTTATTGGTCCTTGGCAATGTAATCTTCTTGATTTTAAGTGTTGAACTCACAATTTGCAGTGCTTTTCACCTTTTCAACACATCCCTGATTCTGTAGCTACTTCAGAACAGTAAGATGTTAACTGCCCATTTCTTTTTGGTGCAATTACAAATTTCCTTTCCATTTACTTCTCACCCCTTAAATATACACAAATTCACATACTTTCTACTTTCTACTTTCAATCTGCCTATGTTCCTACAGTTTTTCTTTTAAACACTGTCAGTGAACTGCAGTAACTGCTTTAAAAAGGAACCACATGAAGCATTAGCGATGGCAGATTGGCAGTGTAGGGCTGGATGAGGACTAAAATCCACATTTCTTGAGTACCAGTCCAATGCTCTAACTTCTACACCACACTCTTTTTGCTTAGCGGTAATTCACTCAACATCATGCCTGCTTACTTGCTACCTGATCTCTCCACACCTCTGCAACACCAGACCCTCTTATTTCCTTTGCTTTTGCTGCTCAGGAGCAGTACAAGCACTTGGACTCTTATAGCATAGAGAGAAAAGGTTTCTTCTGGTTAGTCCACAGAAAACAAAGCAAAACCTGCTGCCCTTAATAGCTGGCTGGGATCAACTGAAGGGGATTGCTGGTGAAGCTTGTGGTTCATGTGAATTACATGTCTCCACATCCTCTCCTGCCAGGTGTCCACACCACGTTCCTGGCTGCTTGTGAAAAGGTCCTATTCAGACACCAAGATATCAAAGACAGGAAGCTGAAGCCAGATGTTAACCTAATCATATTATTACACAGTGACAGAATTTCCCTTTGGGGAGGAAATGATAAAAATACTCAGAATAAAATATGATAAAATTGTTTTCTCTACTTATCTACATGACTAAAGGTTTGAAAGATGCCTAATAAAAGTGCAAAATATTTGTTACCTAAATCAGAATATCATATTGCTGAGAATGTCCTAACATTTACTAAAAATACCCTTGAAAAAACAATGGGATCATTCATGGTGGAGTCTTATATAAAGACACTTCTCCTTTAAATTATTACAATGCAATTTTTGAGTGCAAAGGAAAGGTGAGGAGAGAGATCTGATTTTGCTGCTGGAGCACCTAGCAGGGAATTTGCCATTTGTTGCACCAAAGCAGGAACTGTTTCTCAAAAATCAAACACAAAGACACAGGAAAATAGGAGATAGGATAGGAGACATACATGAACTTTAGCCCATTCTAGGAGCTTGCACTGCATAGCAAAAATGTTGCAATGGGCTCTAAGGCAAAGGAATATTTGGGTGTGAATTTCTTGGCTGACCATATAAGCTAGCTTAGGTTGAGTTACACACAGCTCCAGTTTGCCCACAGCTCCTTGAAGTCAATTTTGGAAACCAAGAAGACAAAGGGGAAGAATTCTGCTTTCTTTTTGTATATAGATGGAGAAATTACAAAGGTCTTAGACTTCTCTTGGAAAGTATGTACAATTCATAGTTGTTTGGAAACTTTACAGACGGAAAGGCCAAATGCATTTTGATGGTTGCTAAAAGTATCTCTGGCTGAACAGTATATGGTGCAAAATGCTGCTTAGAAACACCTTTGACTCATTATTGTAAACTAATAGTGACTCCAGTTGCACCAGCAACTGTGTCATAGCACTGGTCCTCAGCTGTGCACATGCTCCAAGCCCTCCGTTTAATTTACACACAGCTGTAGCACATCGGTATACCCAACACTGGTGTATGCAAGAAAGCATGTTCACTCACAGCTGCTGCCCCTCCTCCTCCTCCTCCTCCTCCTGGGAAATTAATACCTCTCTGCTGAGTGCTGCAAGGGTATGACTATCTCCTGTCCCTGTGTCAAAATAGGTGTGGTGTTAGATGTGAGCATGCATTGAATGGACCTTTTTCTTCTAGCAATTCCAGCTGCATGTAATCTGGGAAGTTGTTTTTTTTTTTTTTAATCCTTCTCTCTCACCCAATTGTAGTTCTGCTAAAGATCAAGCCATCAGTGACCCTGGGATAGCAGCTGTGGAGGGGCTGAAGTGAAGGAGGAAAGAATAAAATCATCCCAGGGTAGCCATGTGCCCTTATTTATAGAGGACTGTTCTCTAGGCAACCGGCTGTTCAGTCCAAGTCTAGTTTTAAGATAAAGAACCATAACAACAGTTGCTCATCACCAATAAGCACCTGGACAGCAGACAGAACAGGTAGGGATGTCACAGGGATGACACCTGGTCATAGTTCCCTGAAACTTTGAAAGGTACAGCATTTCTTTTAAAATTATAATACTCTTTAAATTTTCAGCACGTGTGGGGTTTGGGGGGGGGTTGGCAAATTGCCATCTTCTCTTGTCCTCTTTTTGGATGATGCAGTTCCTCTGTTATTGGAGAGTCATATGCAGTCACGCATATGCCTGGATTCCAATACAGAATGGGACCCCCTGCAGCTGCCCTTGTTAAGTGAGGAAAACCCTGGATACATTAAATCAGGATTAGGCAGCTTTTCAGGCTATTTGCAAGGTTGACAATTTGAGAAAGTGTCTCAGCCGTCACCAGGAAACACTGCCATGGCAGGCATGGCAAAGGGCAAGTCATTTAGTCAAAAGACTGAGTAAAGGGTCGGCGTGGAGACTGAGCACCCAAACACGCAACAGTTCATCTGAAACTACCATTTCAAGCAGCAGCAGGAGTCTATTTTGAACCATCCCAGCAGCTGGTCAGATTTTATTTTTTTTAAGTGAGAGGGGTGGAGCACCTTAGCATGCACAAAGTAAGGCGTCCAGGGAAACATTAGTACATCATTGAAAAATAAAGGCTTCTGCAGGAAGAAAAATCTTTCCCCACACAAAGGAAAGCTAACCAGGAACACGATGACTAACCAAAAGAAAAGTGACAAGACACAGATTTCTAAAGGTACTGGAAAGTTGCTCTCTCTGGCCTGCAAAAAGTGCTTCCGGCTGGCAGCCAAGAACAGCAGCCTGCTGCAGCTAGGAAATCCCCCTCGGTTCAGACATGGCATATGAAAGGGGGCCGGGAAGAGGCCCCAGGCGCGATGCAGCTCCTAAGTGGAGCCTAGCCTGTCACTCCGGGCTTCATCTGCATTCCATTTAGAGGCCGGGATTCTTGTCAGGAGCTTATCTCTAGGGGCTTTGTATCGCATCGCAAAATCTGCTCCCAATTAGCTGAGAGGATGTTACATCATTGGTGATCCAAACAGTAAACAGAGGGCAAGATGCGGGGGAAGGAGGAGGTCGTTAATTTGCCTCTCTCGGTGTGTCTGCATGTGATGAGCTTCTTGCAGCCTCGCGGAGAATGAACAAGGAGAAAGCCACCGCTGAGCCTGAGGAACTTGGACAAAGGCGGAGGTGTCCAAATAATGGGAAACAGCTTCACTAACTGGGCGGAGTTTTGAAACAATCCAGAAGTTCAGAAAAGAAAAGATAAGCGAACGCGGCAGTTTCGGGAGAAGGATGATGTCATCTGTCTGCACAGAAAAAGGCAGTGCCCCCACCCCCGCTTCCTTTGTGGGGCTCCCTAGGATTACATCACCTCGCAGAGCCGAAATCTTGCTGCTCTGCTCAATAACACTTCCCCGCCCCCGGTTCTGCTGAAGGGCTCCCTTCCTTCCCATAAGTCACTCCCTTCTGATGAATGGGCCTCCTAACATCCCCCAACCTGAATGCTGAGCTCCTCAGATATCTAATCAGAGAGAAAGTCCCCTGGGAGATGCCAAAGAGCCGCTGCCTGGACGCCTGCACGGAGGAGGAGGGCTCCGATGGGAAAGTTATCTAGCTGCAACCCACACCGGGCCCCACAGCAAAATCCCAGCTGCCTCTCCAGGCTGTCAGAAGCTGAATGGTGTGAACTGATTAGGCAGACAAGACCACTGTGGCTCTTTAATTATTTTTCCAGCCCCGCACATTCTCTGAAGGGCTACACAATGCCACAGGTTTTCCTCTCCCTGCACGGCTGTGTTGCTGCTGTTAAATAGGTCGAGCCACAACGCCACTTTTTGCAGCTATGCGAAAGGGTGGGTGGAAGGGTGGGCAAACAATAATTCCCATTCCCGTGCAAAGCACTGAACTGTTACGTGCTTGTTTGGTCGGCAGGGTGCCCAGGAGCCCGTGTTGCATGGGAGCACTAATGGCCTGAGAAGCAAATGTGTCATATACCAGGCTAAACGGATGTGTGTAAAGTGTGTATAAAAAGAATGATACACACCTACGGCCCTGGGGTGGCGGGGGTTAAAATGGAGACGGAACAAATCAGTCCTGTTATGGGGAAAGGCATTTGATCTGCCCATCAGTTGAAGACTTTCTCCGTGCACTGAAATCTTAATGGAACCAGAACTCTCCTAAGGATTGCGGTTGCTGACCTTTCAACCAACCCCATTACTATGGAGAACCTTTTGCCTTGCAGGCACTAAAGTAGTGGCAATATTCAATGCTTTGCCCCAGAGGTAGTGTTAAGAGATGGCTCACTAAGGCTGGAGCTCTGAATCTTTCATTTGGAGGCTTGGAGACCATTTGGCCCACCACCTTGCTGTCCATGGTCACTGGCAGAAATAAAGGTATGGGGACCCTGATGATCCCTGTTGCATCTCATCCTTCTGGACTAGCTGGCTTTTTGCCTACAACTCTTTCACCTCCTGCTGTTCCCATTACTGAATGTTCCTACCTAAGGTTTTCTCCCAAAATCAAATATCCTCCCCTGTTCATGCACCCCTTTTTATGAAGAGGAATATATTAAGGAGAGAGTCACACACAGAGAGAAGGGGGGGGGGCTTAGAGCATATGTTAACAGTATATGCAAATTTGTGCTTTTCCCCCTGCCCCCCTGGACCCTTGTCCCAGATTATTTCTGCACCTAGCTCTACCCCTACTTCACCTGCTGATTGCTATGCTAAATATTAACTAACGTTGCATAACAACAAAATGAAAGAAAACCTAGGTGACTTACCATTGACATGCCACAGCATCTGAAAACCAGTAGATTCATCTATTTTATCTGAGAAAAATACAACATGAAGACTGGAGCTTGTGGTACCTCCAGATGGGAGATCAGCGTCGCCACAGAAAGTGCCTATCAGGGTGGACTGGTCATTGGGCCCATCATAAAGCTGCAATCAAGCATAAGGAAACAGTGGGGAAAGATCCATTATACATTGCTGATTTTTCAAAATAAGGGCATATAAATTGGTATTCATAATCCACATGTGTTATCTGAATGTCCTATAATAGACATGGCTAATTTTAATAAAGCAAGACTCCAGTGGTGGTCGCTGCCCAGCTTGGTGAGCACATGGAATAAGACTATCAGTGCCTATCATGGACTAGGACTTCTCAGAAGATTCTGGCCCCTGGTCCGCTGAGGAGGTGCCAGAGTTCATGGTTCAGGAAGATAACTTGGCTGCAGAAAGGCATCTCAAGGCTTCCACCTTCCCTATTCTCCTGAATGAGTTGGCTACTCAGCATCCATACTGGATTGCATTGCTGTCTTTGGACTCCAGCAACTCCAGTCATGAGGGCATTGGCACTCCCTGTCCTTTCCAACAACCTAATATTGATGCCACCTGCCAGGCCCCACCAAGCTTCCTTCAGTATGGAGGTAGGGTCAACCAGCCAAAGGACCACTGCATTTCTATTTAATTTCTACAGAAGCACACAGACAGCCCTCTTCTAGCTTCTTGCCCCAGCATAGCTCAGAGCTGCCTGTGGTCCTGACCGTGCAGCTGAAAGCTACATCTCAGAGCATCATCAAAATGAACCACCTGAAACAGTTATGGTGCCACAATGGATCGGACAAATTGCACACCTAGCTGAGCATTCTGCCTTCTCAAAATGGCAGTTCAGGGAAGTCTACAAAAGGCTTGATGGGATGTCCATCTGAAGTTAATTCTCCCCATAGTGTGATCAGGAAGATGCTACCCGACTCAGTTTCTGAATTGTATCCATTATATAGCCAATGGTCAACAAAATACCCAATAGCAATGAGTTGTATATGTTAAATAAAAATTGAGCAAAGACATGGTTGTGGCACTCCTGCCAGTAAGGACTGTCCTGCAGAACCAAGTAAAAGATTCATGCAGGCCCTCAGGTGGCAGTCATTCCTCACAGTGATGCCACCGAGTCTTGTCCCCAAATGCAAATACACAGTCCATGGCACAGACCCCAGCACTTCCTCCGAAGATCATAGTGACCTGGGAGGCTCTGGTAGGGAAAGACATTCCTTGAGGAAACCTGGTCCTGAGTGGCATGGGGCTTTGTATTGTAATACCAACAGCTTAAAACGACCTCAGAGGCAGATTAGCAACACATTTAGGTAAATTAGCACTAGAGCAGTATGAATGCAATAAGGCATTCCATCAATAATCTGCTGTAGCTACAACTTCCAAAATATCTTAAAGGCAGACTCACATCAAGCGTATTTCAATCATCCAAATTCAAGAGCTGGATTTTGGGTTTTAACCCAAATGACATTTAAATTGTACATAATTCTTTTGAAAGTTAACAGTCCATTCCTCAAAAAATGCACATAATGGTTTGCTTCAGGTTGTCCTGCTCCCAGTTTGGTTCTCACCAGGAACTGGTGCAGCAGGTGTGCCAGCCTAAGTTTATAGTAAGTGCTCCTAGCCACAAAGGTCAAAGTACAACATGGATAAAACTATTTGATGCTTTTGAGCTGTAAATGTAAGAATTTCAGCACAAACATTTTATGGGTTTTGTGCCTGCTAGTTTGTAATGCAGAGCTGAAATGGGAGGGTCCATTTTGCACACTCTTCTCCATGCAGAATTTTCATTTCCCCATTTTTTGCAAAAGTATTCTCAAAGGGGTAAGTGTCTCAGCAGAGAGAGAAAAGAGAGCAGGCCAAATAGCCTGTGGATCAACTGAGCATGTTTCATAAGTTGCAGGTGTTGTCACTGCTGAAGGTCAAAGCCAAAATGTTTGACAGAAATGAAAGATGTATTTATTCCAGTTTTTCCAATTGCTTCACTAAAAGTATCTATAGCTACACCTATACACACATGTGCATGTGCTCATGCAAGTACACTGATCAGTATGAATAAATGAGTAACTGTTTAAAGGCAACAGAAGTTGGTTGTTGATGGTTAATATAAATGAATCCCATTTTATTCTTTCCTAAACTTGATTTCTTAAAATGGGAGGTGCTGGGTTTTTTGGATTGTGTTTTTTTTACACAACACACAGTTAACATTGCATTTCTTCACAATTTTTCTGAAAACCAAGAACTCTGTGCTCTCATAAACACACAGTGGCCATCTAGAAACTACTACTACTACTTGTACTGCCCCTAATTTAGTTCACATTATTCACAGGAAATTCAAAAGGATATGTCAAGACAGCTGTATCTATTTGCAAGCGAGGTGCAGTTACAGGCATTATTCAAGCTGTCCAACTCTTACAAAGGAGCAGGACAGCTGTGTGTTTCCATGAAGAATTTTGAACATCTCAGACATTTTGTCAGTTCTCAGAAAAACACAGCCAACGGAAAAGCACTCGTCAGCTCAGCCTAGTCCCACGGCTGTGATCCTCCATCCCCACTTCTTGCTCCTCCCTTAGAGATTTTGAAGGGCTTTCTATTTATTTATATCTTACACCTCGTAGGGGGAAAATCTGTATTGCTACAGCTGAGATCATTTAAATTTATTACACACTTAGCTAAGGACCATTTGTTTTAGGACCATATGTGAAAAATCTCACAGGCAAAAAATATTACGATACATTTCATATCAGACACCTTGCTGCCAGGCCTGTTTCCGAGGGCAACTGCCTAATGGCAAACCTAGCCTCACTAAAAACATTTTAATGGGACTCCCATCTTTAAGCCAGAGAAAAAGTCAGGCACTGATATGTCACCAGTGTTGAAGCAATATTCAGTTGCCATTCCAGTACACCTGAGTACCTGGAGTAGCTACTCTTCCTTTGCTCAAGACTGCAAAATGTCTTAGGTTGGCCTTAGCCCACCAACTTTGCAGTTCACGATAGCTATAATTTACTGTGATGTTCAAATCTGACAAACTATGGTTAATGCAAGCAATGACTTTCCCTTTGGTGCTGGAGTAGAAACCCCTACAAAGTGAGTGCAGGAAGTGAAATGTGTGAGGAGGGAAGAAGTGGGGAACAATGTGTAAGAAGCTGAGGCACACCTCTATTGGCCCATAACATCTGGAACATCTGGACTGGGCTACTGCATATACATTTGTTATTTTTACAAGTGTGCTGTGGCTGAATGAAGGCCCTGTTTTCCAGCTAGCATTTCAGTTGTCTGCTCTTTCAATAGTAACCTTTTGGTTTCTGGGTCCTGATTGCTAGTTTTGGCAAGCCCAATAGTGGAGACCAGTATAAAAGCTAATGGTTTATCTCAAATGCAAAGGCAAGAGTGAGGCACTTTTGGAGAACCAGCAGCCTTTTTTTTTTTTTTTTTTTGCCCCCGCCAGATGCAACGTCCCCCATTTGGTAACAAAACGAAAGAATAAATACTAGAAGCGATCTCCAGCATGGTTACAGAATGCTCTGTAGTAGTGCTGAAGTACCAACCGATCAAAAAACTGATCAAAATGGCTACTCTTTTACCATTCTGGGTTGGTGGGAGCCTCAGCAGTAGCCCCAGTACAGCACATGGGTCCTGTGATGTGCAAAGGGTTTTTGTTGGGGTGGGGAGATATAAGGCAGCCTTTCCCAACTTGATGCACTCCAAGAGATGTTGGACTACCCTGGCATGGAGAGAATGAAAACTATAATCAAGCATTACTGGTGTGCACTGGTTGAGGAAGAGATGGCCCTGCCCAACAGCTGACCTGAAAGCAAAGAAAGCACATCTAGGCTATATGTTTTTCCTGGCAACCCAATTTCTGAAAAATCTAGTTTCTATAACACCAGTCAACATTAGTGGGAATTTTCCATAGAGGAATTGAGTCATGTAGGAACATTCCAGGGAAGGTAAATTGACAGAAGAGCAGTTGGAGATAAAGCTGAGTTTCTATTTGGCAATATGAACCAGCAGATGTCCACACCTTTCCTATAGCACTGAAATTAGGATTTGTTTTTCTTTCTTTCTTTTAAAACTTTGTTCTAGTTGACAATGTGCCAAGCAGACACTGCAGGGTTGGGAGGAGTGTAAGCAGATTTCAGTAATTTATTTTGTAAGGAACCTGGTTAAGGGAAGCAGGGTATAAATAAAACTTATTTAAAAGCCACAAGCAGCTTAGAAGCTGTGGTTCAACCATTTTTAGCATAGGCTAGAGAAGTAATTCAGCAAATGGCAGATATGATTCCCTCCTCTCTTTGAGAGAGGAAATTTGCTTTTATTCATATATATGAAATTTGTTTTTATTCATATATATATATATATGAATATTAATATATTCTATTTCACTTTGATGGAGAGAAAATTACTGCCTAAAAGTGCAAGCTTAGCTTTGAAACTATGGGAGGACTTATCTGTGCTATTTCCTGCAAAGTTTCAATTAGGTACAGGGTTTTACCAGTGCAGTTCTTAAAAAATAATAATAATGCTTGTCTTGGGTTTGATGTGTACAGAACCCAGGCCTACCCAGCAGACCAAAATCAACTCTCTTGTTTTTAAGGATTTGTGGATATTATGAATTTTGTTATTCAACTGTGGAAAAAAAATACATGAGCCAAAGTGAAGGAATGCCAGTTTTCCATATTTCATAAATATTCCTAAAGTCTTTTTTAATATGAAAATAAAACTGTCCAATAAATATAGCTTTCTAGAACAAACAGCAGACTGGATGGACAGCAGATACTTTGCTCTGTAGGGGTCTGTGCAGGGTTTGGGGCATCCATTATTCACAACAGCTTCTTCTAAGCCATTGTTTGTTTATTTCATGCATTCCTGCACTCACTTTCTGATGTCTGAAGTGCAAAACAGAAGAATTCCATTTCCAGGGTTGCTACTCCTTTTTCTGGCCGGGCTCCTTGTGCCCAGTGGCGTGACTGATGGAATTTCAACAAACGTGTTTCCCCCAGTCATTTCTCCTCCATAACAAGATAGCCACAGGTGTTTGCTTTTTGCACAGAGAGATGGTAACTCTACCAACCAGGGTTCTTCTGCACTTCCCGTACAATGGAACCTTGGTCTGATTCAGCCTGACTCTTCTTCTACATGGTGCTAGATTCCTCTGTCCAAGTCTGGACAATATCCCCATCCCATTACAATCTGATGGGAGACATGTCAGTGTTTTGGAGCTGGAGGGGTTGTTTGGGCAACACAGAGGAGAAAGGAAGGGCAAGTGTATTGAGTTTGTAGTGTGTGTGAAGTAAGATACCACTTGGACTGGGACAAGGCACCATCTGGTCCTTAACTCCAGGCAGCAGAATGGGTCTTCCCTGTCCATAAGCCTCAGATCTTTTATTTCTAAGACTAATAGTACATGAGGATACAAGAGGTCTCCCTCATAAAACAAGACAGAGAATCCTGATTAGATATGCTGATAGTGTCTTCACAGTTGCCTGGTTGTATATTAGCAACTTTCTGGAGGCTCAGAAAAAGTCACGTTACTCTGACATGACAGGGTGTGGCAAATGAGGAAAACAGATTGTTAAAAATAAACTATGATTCATTCTGGGTTCTGCATGTCTGAGAATGTCCCATCTCACAGCGGCATCTTGGGAGCCATTATTCAACTGAGGTTTACTGTAATTAAAGACCATCTTTCTCCTGCATCTCCTGCAATGTTGCTACTGTGGCTTTTGTTCAGTTGAGTTCATTTTTCAGACTGCTTGATACAACATTTCTAATCCATTTAAAGATCAAAAGCATCAGTACTGCTACCCAGGTTTTTGGAAGGATGAATGTCTTCCAGATTTCCAGAACTGGGCATGAAGGAATTAAACATCCTTCCCACACCAAGTTCCCACCAGATGTGTTGGACTATGCCTCCCATTGTGTCTCCCAAGCCAGCCATGTTTATGTTATCTGTTTATACAAATCAATTACCTGCTGTTCATTAGGAAAAAAATCCCAAAGCAGGGTCTTCCACTGTGTCGTGGGTCCAAAGCAGATGTGACCAATGTGAACCTTTATTTCATCTCTGTTGCAGAATTAGCCCTCAGCCTTCTCCAAATATATATATATTTACAGATTGCTTTTTGGCTGCATATGAGATCCCCAAAGCAGCTCACAAACTTAGTAAAACAGTAACAACACAATCACCAAAAGAGCAAGCAGCTAATTTATGAACAGAGCAGCTTCATAAATGTGTGGATTGCACAACAGCAAAACTATATCTAGACTTCCTGAAGGCTAGAATGATAGGGCCTCCTAAGGAAGGGAACTCCAGAACAAAGGGACCACCAGTGAGAAGACCACACACACACAAAGCACACCTTGGCAGTTGGACACAAAACAGCCCCTGCCCCAGGAAATCTCAGTGGGCAAACAGCATCAAGTGGAAGCAGAAAATCCTTCAGATATCTCTGACCTAAACTTCAATGGTAACCGTCAGCACTCCGAGTTGGGCTTGCAGATATGCCAGGAGACACTGCCTATTAACACGTAGTGGAGTCACATGTTCCAAATTACAGGGCCCCAGCAACAGCATAGCAGCAACATTCAGAACCTATCATTTCCGAAGCGTCTTCAAAAGGCAGCCTCGCAGTGCAGGCTGCGTGTGCTAGTTCCGTTGGGCTGAAAGCAGAGTGAGCGTGACAGTGGTCGGATCTGTCATTTCTCTCCTTTTATTGATGAAGCAAGAGGCTTGGCTCTACTCTTCTTAAAGTGCACCTGGGCATTTCCTTTTCAATGCCTCTTTGCAAAAGAACAATGATAAAATTGGCTTCTGTGCATCTTCAGTTCCACTAGTATAATTATGGAGCATTATAGTCATTTCGCTATTACTCCCAATATAAAGTCAAATCATTTTGATTTGATAGCTCCAAGACTTAAATGTACGAAAACAATGCAGTTGCCTCCACTAGATTCAGAAAGCTACATTGCCTCATTACCTCTATGGCGCTCATTTCTGTGTATCTGGATCCTGCTTTGTATGTGACAAGGCAATCCAGGCGTCCAGTGATAGACATATTCTGAAACATTGGAGGACCCTTGACAAGTAGCTGTGTTTGGTCCTCTGAGATGTACGCTTTTCTTTCACGTATTACATATTTACTTCTGCACTGCAAAAGTATGTGTTTTGTACAGGGAAACACCAGTGTGAAGTAAACATTAATTTAGTGAGCTTGTTTTCCATTGAAAGGTTGCCCTTCTATAAGGCATAGCAGGAAGGATTTTTCTTGTTGATTTTTCTTGCTAATCCTGCTTACGTGTCATAGTACAAAACAAACAAACAAAGGAAATACTTTCTTGGTACCTTCACATGGTCCCGTTCACAATTTGCTCCTCCCTTTGTGCTGAGCGCCGTAAAGCTGTAGTTGAGGGTGTTACCCATTGTAGTTTGGATGGTCCAGTTGCACTTCGTGTCTGAAGGATACTTGTTAGGGTAGTTTAAACTCTCCAAGATGCCTTGGCTATGATTAGCAATTATTATTCCTTGGCAAACTTGAGAAAGACATTTTTAAAAATTATATACCATATATACTGTTGCATTCAAGATAGTCCAAGTATCAATCAATACAAATAACTTCAGTTAGCATTGCTGGTTCTTTATGGTGTCCTTACACGCTCTCTAGTCATCTCCAACTTACTTCAACCCCTCAGACTGTCCTGTCCTTGATAGCCCAGCCCAACTCTTACAAACATTTATACTTAAATTGTAACATGCTTTCAAGCTCTGAAACTGAAACTAGGGTCTGGTTTATACCCATAATGACAACCCATAATATGGGGTCTGTATGAGTTGTTACTGAATCATGGGTTGCTGTTATGTGTGCATCCTGCACCACACTTTAACAGCATTTTGTTATCTACAAACAATCCATGAAGAGGATACATGGTTTCTTGCTGGGCTGTTCTTCTGGGATGTTCATGGTTAACAACACATGGATAAACCATAGTGCATGGTTCACATGTAACCACGATCCAGGTTTCAACAAAAACCCCCAATTCAACCCATACTCTAAGCCAGACCTGGGCATTGTACAGCCCGCGGGCCACATCCGGCCCGATGGCTGACCCTGACTGGCCCTCATGAGGTCACTGGCAAATTAAAAGTCAATGCAAATATATATCGTCGTTCAAGCCCAAAACAGATGATTTCTCTCAGTGAGCAACAAAAAAAAAAAAAGAACTGAGGTCATGCAAACAAACAAAGCTGGATGCATTTATAGGAAATCCAAAGGCAACTTGGATTGTTGAGTTTTCTGTTTCTCTGTTCTGTTATAATTCGTAAGGTCTGTACCTTACTATGTTAAGTGCTGGGAGATTACATATGTTGTAAATTTGCACTATATAAGTAAAATTGAATTGAATTTATTGCTTTTCATGTAATGTTAATGTTTTTGTGAATATTCATTAAATAGTGTTGTTCTGTGCTCCACATTTTCATTGCATCATTGTAATGTTTCATTTACTGTTTTTATAGAGATATATATTGAGCAGAGCTGTAAGTGTATTGGTCCGGCCCTTAACAACTGTCAAAGTTTCTCATGTGGCCCCATAGGAAAATTAATTGCCCAGCCCTGCTCTAAGTCTAAGTCTGGTTGATGAGAAAAATGGTTTCTAATAGAACAGATAATGCCCTGGTTCACACATAATGCTAATCTGTGGTTTATTTAACAAAATTCTGTATTGTTGTGGTGTGTGAACCCAACTGCACTAACAAGCCATGGTTTGTGAACTGTGAACAACTGAAAAAGAGACCCATGGACCTGATTTGCATGTTACAACAGATTATGATTTAAACAACTCATGGATTGCCATGCATAAGTAAATGGTGGCCTCTTGAATGCCCACCATTCCTCCTTTGCAAATAGTTCATGATCAGCTCCTTCTTAAGTTGCTGAACATGGTGTTGTTTAAAAATGGAAGTGGCTGGCATTCTGCAAATGGCTCTTTCCATTCCTTCCTGTCAGCCTACAGGTTGTTTAAACCAATGACTTTGCTCATTATACTGTGTTGCTGGGTTGTGAACTCTGGACTGCTTAGCCCAGGGGGTATTATGATGTCTGAACTCAAAACCACAGGTTATTTATTAATTGTTTCACTGGGTTACACAGGCAGCAGGCAAGAGCGATAAGGAAAATAGAAACAAAATGCAAATAGCAGTATTTCAAAGACATTTGGGTTATAAGAAGGGAGTGGGCAAAGGAAGAAGGACTCAAATAACCCTGGATTTGAGAAGATGAATCATGGCTTGTTCAATTGCCTGCCAGGTAGAGCAATTAACTATGAGTTAAGCATGAATCAGGAATGTGGAGGAATCCCTACTGGGAATTCAACAGATTCCCTGGACTCCAGTCCATTCTGTTGCTACTGTGCGTCCGAGACCCTGGTGAGTGTGTCCAGCACTTATGCAGCACTCACCAGGGGTTGAGCCCCGTGCAATCACTGCACAAGCCACGACCCTTTCCTCACCATGAGCAGCAGCCTTTGCTTGTGCGACTGCATGCGATGCACAAGAAGTCTGCAGGTTGTGCAACCTTCAGGCCGCAACTGTTCATGGACTTCCTCTGAGCTTGCTTTGGTTTCTCAGACTGGGAGGAGCACAAGAGGAAGTCTGCAAACGCTAGAGGGACAGATTCCCCAGGGCTTCAATAGCAACACTACCATGGGTTAACATTATGTGCGGACCAGATCATTGGTGGCTTCCTGTGGGGGCTCCTAGTACTACCAATCAAAAAGATCAGTGTGGCTATTCAGTCCTGTCTTCCTTAGTGTGTTTTCAATAAGAAAAATGAGGAGGGGGAGGAAGAGGAAGAGGCGGCAGCAGTGGGGGGAAATGGAGGCTTACATGTAGAAGTCGATTATATCTAGACCCCTGTAAATTTCTGTGCTTGTGGCAGGGCAACAGCATGATAAAGCTTCATGTAGAAGCATCTATTCCTAGGGAAGAATCCATGACAATTACAGGGAAGACTCTAGCCCACTGATCATCCCTGATTAACCCTTCCTTTTTCCTTTCCTATAGTCTTATTAAATGAGGTTTTGGGAAAACAAGTCCATGGATTTAACATGTAATTCAACACTTTATACCCTCTGGGGGTGTGGAAGATGCTGCTTCTTCAGAACTTTCCTGTTTCACAATCTTCTTTTCAGAAAAAACAAACCAGCAGATAAAGTGAAAGGCTAAACACCCACTAACCTAAAACTAACATCTGCTGTATCTCAAACACAAATAGATCACAAACAATCTGTCCTTATTTCCACATAAAATAAATTGCTAGTTTAAGCACAGCCATATAACAAGTTGGGTTACACCAGCTGCAATACCACAGTTTTGCTCTTTTTGTTTTGTTTCTGAATTTTAAAGAAAAAGGAAAAAGATGGAGAAAAACAGAGAAAGAATAAAATAGGCATATCCAACACATACACATGCAATTAAAAAAGAGACTGAGGGTAGAAGGTTTATCTGAGAATTAAAGGGTGGAGTTTTCTATCCAGTTGCTATTTGGAAATGAAAGTATCCTACAATCCATGGAAAGGCAAGTTGTGGCATGCAGTTTCCATGATCCCTCACTATTAACTATGCTGGCTAAGGGCAATGGGAGTCATTGATCAAAATATCTGGAAAGCTCATCTGAAAACAGCTCAGCAGCCCACCCTAATCAATGGCTTGTAACTTTGTGGTTTGGAATGAACATCCAAGAAGAATGTGTGGTTTCCCCAAGAGACAACATTTCACAGTGAGGTGAGGTTGTTTTAAGCTCACCCATAAATGTGGGTAACAAGAAGTTTCAATTGGTCTTAAGAACTGCAAAACTATTGTGTCGGTGAGATTTTTTCAGGCAGCTCTCCAGCACATCAGCCATACAGATGGGGTTTCATACTGTGATAATTTGGTATGATTTAGTGGACAGAATAGCTTGCTACAACCAACCTAACTTTTCTTCTCTCTCTGAGTTGTTGCAATAAAAGACAGGGTGGGTTCCTGAGCTCCTTAGGGAAAGAATAGCTAGCTGGAGTTTTCTTTTAGTGAGGAATTACAGGTTTGCATTTGTTTCTGGATCTTGCTGTTACCTGTACCAACCACAAGCTCAGTGGCCCAGTCCAGTTCTCCACAGTTCCCCAGATGGCTCCATGCCCTTCCCCCGGCCCTGTCTTCTTTCTCCCAACCACTGATCATGTGGTGTTCTCCTTGGCCTTTCCCCAGCTTTTCCCCAGTCTCAAAGTCTGAAATTCCTCCCCAAACCTTAATTCTGCCAGCAGGAGCTTTTAACAAACTATGCCGGTAGTTTTAGCCATGCCCCTATTGCTTGTGCACCTCTGCAACGTGGCCCCTGAAAGCTTCTCAGAAATGGCATGAAAGAGGTTGTGTATGCCTGCCCTACACATTAGCTTTCCCCATGCAGGTGAGCTACAGATGTTCTGGCCTGCAACCCCCATCAATGCCAGTCAGCATGGCCAAAGGTCAGAACTACTGTAATCCAAACCATCTGGAAAGCATCAGTTTGGGGAGGCTGCATGATTTACACATCTCTACATTTGCCAAATCTCTACAACTGCCTACATTTGCCTAAATTGCCTGAAAGTGATACAGGAAAACATGGTCAGGAAAATGGGGATGAAAATATCTCTGCAGTGGCGCCCCATCTATGGAATGTGCTCCCCAGAGAGGTCCGCCTGGCGCTGTCGTTATTTGTTTTTTGGCGCCAGGTTAAGAGCTTTTTATTCCAGCAATATTTTCATAAGTTTTAATACTGTCTTTTCTATATTTTTAACTGCAGCCAGTGTGGGTCGGGAATTTATTTATGTTATATTTTATGCTGTAAGCCGTCCTGAGGCTTTTTGCGAATAGGAGGGCATATAAATAAATAGATAGATAGATAGATAGATAGATAGATAGATAGATAAATATGCAAAGCTTGCCAGACCTGGTCACAGTCTTCATGCGATGACATCAAACCGCTTGTACTTACTCTGCTTATAACGTACAAGGAAGCCTCCACCTCCCAAGGAACGATCAGTCCTTAGTTTGATGTACACTCTGTCCCTGGTCGAGCGTATTGTGGGTGGTATTTGATTCCCACAAAATTTGCCCAACATCTTAAAACTGGAACTATTGCCATCATAGACCTGCGGTTATAGAGAAACAATGTTGGGTGGGGGCAATTTTTGGAATATTGCTGAGAATTCAATTGATCATGTACAATTTTTCTTTGGGAAAAAAATTCTTACAATGAAAATCCACTTGGCATTTTAAAAAGCAGAGTTCCCAAGAAACATATGAAACCACTATAATACTACACAGACAGTTGATACAACCTTGACTGAAAGCAGTGGGATTTACTTCCTAGTGGAAATACCTAAAGTTGGATAGAGACATATTTAATTCAAGATACCATAAAGTGTCTAATGCTAGGGGAGTTCTAGTCAAACAGTTATGGCATCTGATCAACCATTTATTTTATGGACTACATGGATATGCCATTTTTGCCAAAAAAATTTCAAGGAGGTTAATGCTTTGGCAAAATTGGTTTATTAACATACTGAGTAAGAGTCAAATTACACAATACATTAAAAACACTTGTTGACTCTTCTCTCTCTCTCTCTCTCTCTCTCTCTCTCTCTCTTTCTTTTCTTTTTTTTTTTTTTCTCATTTCTTTTCTTTTTTGGGGGCGAGGGGTTGTGGGGGAGTCCTGATCAAACTTGGGACTATCATGAATGGAGAAGTGAGTTTAAAATGTTTCTGCTCAGCTGCTTGTTTTCGAAAATCCCTTCTCCGGAACATAGACTAAAAAGAAAAGAAACAAAAAGAAAAAAGCCCCCATTGGAGCCATTGAGTTTTTTCCTCCCTCTCTCTCTCAAAAAAAGAAGTGAGCAGCTAGGGGGATGGCTTAAACCTTCTATTTGCATGCAATCTAAAACATGTACACTTACTTATAAGACAGTCTAGGTTGCAAGGCATGCACGGTGCATATTTAATGTATGTGGTCTGATCCTTTGTTTCAGTGCAATCTTATACTTAGAACAAAATCTAGTTCATTTCAGAGCTAAATGGATACAGGATTGCTCTTTACCCAATTGCATAACTGGCCAGATAAGTAACTTGTACTATCAGGGTGCAGGAGATGCTGACATGGAAGCACCTTGCTGCAGACATTTGAGCTCAATGTTCACCATCACTTTCAGGAGATGCAATGGCCTGAACAGGTGGTGTCATCTGTCCTTCCCTACCATACTTCTAATACACAATAGTTATTGAAATATCAAAAACTAAAGTGAGAGCAAACTTTGCATCACAATATGAAAGGGTGGTAGGCTGTCCATAAGAGAAACAGCATCAAATGGGATGAGAGGAGAGGAATGTTTGTGTTGTGAAGCAACCAGGCCCGTGCTTGAGTGACCCTTCGAGTGGCATGACCGGGGGTGGATGGGAATGAGCCTTGTGCTGAAAGCCATGCAGCATGAAGAGCATTTGCAGTCCACCAAGTGAGCATCTAGACATGAGTAGCAACCATCACTTTGAATTACTTTCAACGGGGTGCACTTGAATCCAGAACTCTACACATATTCTGTCCTGAGACATAATGCATGAGCAAGTGCAGGGAGAGCTGTATTGGATGTGATTCTTCCCTGCAGAATGGGGAGACAATAAGGGAGTCTGCATGGAATGGCAAGTTTGGGAAGATAAGCCTCGTTGCCTAGGCAAAAGCTATGCTTTACCTCTCCCCCAACTCACCATTTGGAATGAAGGCAACAGGAAGGCCTCACTTGCCCTTAGTCTTGCTATCCCATAGTCAGATCTGACTGGCTGAAATAGCACAGTGACAAAAGCCTTTCAAGTCAAGCAAAGTGGTGTCAGTGGAAAAGCAGACAGGAGAGGCAAGGGGCGAGCTCCGGAGCAAACAGGTGCACACAAGAACCGAAGAAACATCTCTGTAGGCCCTTTGCCGTCCCCTGACATGAGAACTCGCATCAAAACTCACCCAGAAAATCAAAGCATAGTCAGGACAATACTGGCTTTTCAAATATTAAAAGTATTGATTTGCATTTTCAGGAACAACGGAAGTGGGCAGAATGTACTCCATTTTGATGTTCCGGATCTTTTATGGGCATTCATCAGGGGATTAAAAAATTCTAATGCTCTGATTATTCAGAAAAATATTTTGGTCATTTATATGATACTTTAAATAAGGATATCTGGGAAGACAATGGAGTTCTTGTCAGACACTCTCTGCCTTTGTTCTTCTAATTTATTAAAATATTTTGCTCACTGTCTCTATTCAAGGTTCCCTTGATTCTTTTTATTCTAGCTCAGATGAAAGCACTTTAATTCTTGCACAAAACAGCTCTCTGTGGAAAATTAAAATATAGAGATAAAAAAACATCTAGACATCTTTAAATCTGATGCTGTGTGAATTGGGCCAGGGTCAGGGGCGATGCAACTGCTGTTGAAACTTTCTTTTTACAACTTTCCAGTATCCCTAGAACAATCCACAGATCACATTATCCTCAATGATGATCAACCTTACTGAGGGAGAATAAGCCATTCTACATACAGCAAGATAATCGAAGTTACAACTTGGATGAGACTCTAAGTGAAATTGATCGAACTGGACTTCAAACGGGCTTCCACGACTGGAGCTCAGCAGCCAGTAGCACTCTGCGTTGTGGTAGTAGGGCAGAGGATAGTTGGGAGACACAAAGATTCCAGAGGTCGCCGTGAGGGTCCCACCACACCCTGGAAACAAACACAAAGAACACACAACCCAACTGCATTGGCTGGTGTCTGTTCTGCTCCATGGTGCACACCAAGTAAAAATGCTTCCTGGTAGGGGGAAATTCCTTAAGGAGATCTTACACCAGCAAAGGAAAATCAGTAGCCCCGATCAGTAACCCCAGTGGAGGTGCCATTACTATACCCTGGGGGGAGGACTGTGAGCCAGATCTCCTTTCCAACACTGAAACTTGAGTCTCTTGCCTTCCTATTGAACAGTATTCAGTTCAGAACCTACTTCTGGAGCAGAAATGAGTAATATGAAGCCTACAGCCTAAATTCAAAGGCCTTTGCAAACGATCAGACCTTAAGCAAGAGGAACCTACCACTAGGACGGGAGGAAACTAACCCTCACGGAGTTCCCTTAAGACAGTGCAGCCCTCAACAGAAAAATGCATGATTCATTATTCTGAGCAAGAGTATATCACAGGGCATGATGGGCTCTCCCTGGGAGGGCAAATTACCACTGTAGAATTAGTGCTGTAAAGTTTCTGCTGTTTGCCTTTGCCACTGACAGGAAGATGGGGATGAATCACAGACCTCAGTATGCTGAGCAGAAGAAACTAATACATGTTGTAAGCTGAGTTTTCCCCCCTTTGTACATTCAAGGCAACAGACCGATCCTTTGCAGAAGCTCTTTATTCATGAAAGTATACCCAATAAACTCAATCACCACAGAATGAATCTCTGAGCATGCACAGAGTGGTTTGTTGAACCCAGTTGAGCAACTACTTCCAGGAACCCTCCTTTTGAGTATGTCTGAGCTCCATCCCTCTGGAAAGGTCCTTTTGGAAGCAAGAAAGCCTTTTCTCTGTACACCAGCCCTCTAATTTGCTAGCCCCCTCTCCCAGTGCCATATCATTGGGTCAAGAGTTGTACTAGCTTGGTTTGGCTTTGAGAGCTCCTCTCCTATCCCCGGTCAGGGTGCTACCAAGGATATATATATATTTGCTTGGACTGACTGTGAGTTATTTTTTCTAAACTAAAACCTCAGTTTCCAGGTTTTATTGCAGTGTTGGCACTTTGCGATAAATAAGTGGGTTTTGGGTTGCAGTTTGGGCACTCGGTCTCTAAAAGGTTCGTCATCACTGATCTAAACTCATTGGCAACAAGATGGAAGAAACTGATACCTTCCCTTCCTATCTAACATAGAAATAGTGTTTGGTTTGACAATTTTTGTGTTTGGTGTGCCCACTGTACCTGTTAACGTTCCATTCCAGTATGCAGAGAATCCAGTGCTTGAAAAATAGATATCACTTACAAATTTTATCCATAGTTGGTTACTATGAGAGATAATAACTGGCGGTAATATTGAGCCACAGAACTTCCCAATCAATGGTGATGTCTCATAACCTCCATCTCTACAATTGGAAAAGACACACATACATAGTTAAAACCTTTAACCTCTAGTAAAAGCAAGTTTCACTGAAACAATAGAACTGACTTCTAAGTGAACATGCTAGGGAACCAAGCTGGTTCAAGAATATGAACAGGAATATAGGAAAGTTTGCACAACTGTGCTGGAGGAAGTAGGCTTCCTTGACCCCTCCGGTGCATGGCAGTCCCTCCAGCCCTTGCAACACAGAGCATTAGGAGATGCTGCTGAACGGGCTGAGCTGTGGTTCCAGAAGAGGGAATCCCTAAATACTGAGCTACGAGAGCTTCTGCACGTAGAGCACTTCCTCCAGATAGAGAGCCCAATTTTGGCTCTGAAAGTTAGAGTGAACTTATTGTAAGTATATCTGAAATGATTCCCATCCTATGGAATAGAAAGCAAAAAGACAAGGAACTGGATTTAGAACTCCAGATTTTTTGTTTTGTTTCTGGTACTGCCAAATCACAAGCATATTTATAAGAACTGGAGCTGCAGTTTGGAAGCCATTGCTAGAATGCAGGAAGCTCCCAGAGACTGCCAGCCCATCTCATGCAGCATCATCACCAACTGGTCTCAGTTCTCTCAGGTTCTTATAAATTGCTTCTCAGCCCTGCTTGGAGATCCAGGAACTGACCCTGAGCCTGCAGCTTCTCCAAGGGTGTAGCTGCCAGTACACTGAGCTTTGCCACCCATCCCCTACCAGTGAAATATTGATTAACTTATTAGGATAAAAAGAGCAGCTAGATGTCAAGGGCCTTTCTGGGCAGCTGCTGCCAGTCAGAGTAAATCATACTGGCCTATTGATTTTTTAAAAAGTTTTATACAGGGTTTTTACATGCTATGGGACTTTGTAGTTTTAACGTCTGTGAACTGCTCAGAACACTTCAGCTGTTGGACGGTACAGAAATGGAAGATGGAAATAAATCAAGCGGATAAATGGTCACATGGTCACATTATAATGGTCTCAACCCATTCAAAACAGTTTCATATCTATTTTGGGAAAGGGTAATTTGGGATAGAGTAATCTCAGCTGAGTGATACCATATCTCACAGGTAAAGCACATGTTGTGTATGCACAATGTTTCAGTTCTTGGTAACTTCCGCTAAAGTGATCACATATAGGGAGGCAAGGGGAGATTCCTCCTTTGAAACTCTGGAGAGTCACTGCTAGTCACAGGAAAGAGGCAGTTCTGGATTCATACTGGGAAAACAGTATGATGTGGGCATGGATCACACATGATGCTAAGCCATGGTCAGGTTTGTGGCTTGTCATTGTGCCCAAACCCATCCCTGAAAAAAAAGCCATAATCTTTAACAGCCATAACCCAGATACAATAACCATTGTTTGTCAGTAATGGCTGGGCCAACAAACCAGGATTACCATAAACCATGTAAAACATAATGTGAAACATAGCTGTGCGTTATGCATGAAAGCAGCTAGTATAAATGCCCTTTGCTTACATTCACATGTGCTTTTCTGCTCTAAGGTTCTGCAAAGTGGAACCTTTACTCTTTCAGATACTGTAGTAAAGATTGCAATAAATAAGCCAACAATACCATAAATAAATAACAATACATTAAGAAGCAGAACATGGATTAACTTGCCTGACTTCTACATAGTCACTGGGACATGTGGCTCCACCCTCCAAAGAGAAATTGGTAAAATGCAAAGCAATCTGTTTATTGTTCCCCACATGGATCCTGTATGTGCAGGTCATTCGGTTGGGATAGAGGTTGGGGTAGTTTGGAGACGTCAGCACACCGGAAGCCTCCGTGTATTCATGTGAACATACTGGAAGAAAAAAGAGCAAAGCACTCAGGTGACTGCAAGGAATTTTAGCTGACGTTGGCAATCAAGGCCTTAGTGAAAAAATCTTCACAGAAAACAAAGAATTTTGTATTTGTCAGAATGCAAAGAACTGAAAGCCACCTCTGCCACTTATCAAACTGGTTATTCTTGATTGTCCCTTGCTAAAGCTTTAACCCAAAATGCGACTCATGTAAGATTTGTCATATTCACTTTTGATAGTGAAGGTACCCAAGTTTGAACTAAATACAATGTTTCATCAAACAAACAAACATAAATGTGGGAGGATTTACAGTTTAATCCTGGCTTCTTTTTTGCCTTTGCTTTTTTCCTCTTTGGGGAGCCAAACAAAACTTTGGCAGCTGACAAAGCTAGAGGACAGCCACTTATAATGGCCAAAGTGGAGTTGTATCATCAAGCCAGAGGACACAAGAGGCCATAGAATTGCATAGAATTTGCACATGCAAAATTTCCGTAGAAGTGTAGTACATCTTAGCATAGTATGGAAGACACCAGGTAGCTGGTGCAGTTGCCTGCCTGTTTGGGTGCGAATCATGGACAGACATCAGCTGTTCTTATGGTATGTTAGCATCAAACCTTCACTTGGACTGGATGGCCCTTCAAACAGAGCAGGGTTCTCTGTCAGCCCTTTAAATAGAAGATTGACCTCCGTAAAAGACAGGCAGAGTAATGAGTACGGCGAAACTACCTGGGCTTCTGGCTCCCACCCTGCAGAGCAGCTTCTGCTGCAGGGCCAAGAACCTGGAGTTCCTGATCCTGTGCCAAAAGCACCCTTCTGGACAGCTAAAGCTTCAGTTTTGGGCTCCTCCTTTGAGAAAACCTACTCCCTTCTAATATAATTATGCTTCTAGTAAGCTATTCATAGAGTGCAGGCAAAATACGCTTTTCTTGTGCTTTCTTTTTGCTGGGTGGTGGGGGGAGGGGAAGAAACCAATGCATGCCAGATCAAAAAGTTATCTGTTCTGCATAGTTCTTTCACAGTACTTGAGGATGGATTGAGAAATTTAAGTAAAGAAGCTGTAGTTGCCTAGCACATTCATTTTGGTTAGAACTGCACAATGGCTGGAAGAGATTAAACACAGATGACCATGAAGATTAAACATGAACATCCTGCTTGGCTGTTGTCCTTCCATGTAAATCCACCCAACACCATTACAGTAAATCCTCTATGCTTTTTTCCTTCTGCTGGAGGCCAGGGTAACAGAACATCCAACTTCTGGATTAAATGCTATTAATGTGAGTTGTGAATAAGGCACACCTAAAGGTTTAACTTTGTGCTCTTTGTCAAAAACAAGGTGATGTTGCCTGATGTCTGGATGTGGGTCATAAAATCTTGGCATGAAGAAGCCTGTGTTTCCATTCATTTTCAATATATACATTTTATTTGAAAAGAAAAGGTGAGTTGTACTGAATAGCTGTACATAATTTCTCTGCTCGGGTATGAACATGGGAAGGCCCATCTGGTCTTGATTCCAGCCAGTCAACGCAGTCCAAGCTGGCCATCACAGAAGACACAATGAAACTGCTGGAAGCTGCACTGTGCACCTACCTAACAGAAGGCTCTTTCTCACACACGGTTGCACAACCCAGAAGATTAGAAGTGGAACATTTCTCCCCCCTCCACTTCGCCCCACCCCTGGTGAAAATTTCAAGATTTCCCAGATCCCAATGAAGAACTTTGTGATCCCATTATTCTTCTTTGACATCTTACATACAAAAGAAATCTGCAGATCTCCTGAGAGTTATGTGTACTAATATTTGCAACCTCCTCCAACCTCCAGCTCACCCTACAGAACAGATTCTTCTTCTTTTTTTTGTTGTTGTCATTGCAGGCGATAGAAGAAAAATATCAGCACTTGAAGTCCTGCTGTCTCTGGCATGCAGTAACATAATTAACTGACTTAATTTTACCAACTCAGAGAAGAGGAGGAATGCAAACAAAAGATCCTTTGTGGAGAAGTTCAAAAGCAAGCTTGTTTAGAAACACTTAGCTCCAGCCATTTCAAATTGCATCTCCATCCTCTCCAGTTTTAGGTGGATGCATTTGGCAAGCATGGCTTGAATTTGCCTTTGTGCAGTCTAAATCCAGGGGACTAAGTGATTATTTGCCAGATATGGCCCATCTAGAGAAGGAGGACCTGTGTTTGGTTGCTTAGGTTCTGGTTCCATCCAGACCGGATTACTGAACTGCTCCCTCCTTGGAGTGCTCTTAAATATAGCTTGGAAACCGGAGTTGCTCCAGAGCAAAGAGTGGTTGCTGCTTTCTCTGATTTTCAGGAAGGGAGTTAAGACACATTTCTTTAATTTGGACTTTCAAATTGTGAGCCGTTGTTTAAGGGTGCTATCCAATGGGATGCCTATAGCCCTCTGAACAGGCATCCTATACAGGGTGTCAGGAGTGTGGAGGTTACGGTTGCCTCCGTGCTTCTGCTACTCTGCCAAGCAGACAGATGGCCAGTTTCAACTATATACCTGTAGTATTTCCGAGTGAGAGGGAAGGATGCTGAGGTATGCCAGGATATGTTGCATCTTGGCGGCACCTGTCTCCTTTCCCTGCACAAAAGCACCTGTCTGAACTCACTTTTGTGACCTTGGTGAAGCAGCCACCAAGGTTCTTTCTGTGCTGGCTGTAAGGGGCGGGAGGGGATCTGAGGGCAGGTGCTGAGTGCCTCGATGCAGAAAAATCCTATGACCATCTGGATGCTGCCCAACATCCATTAGATTGCTCTCTTAATTTTTTTCATGTGGTTTCATTACTTTTCATACTTTTATGGACAGTTTGTATTGCTGTACTCTGCCTTGGTGGCATCTATAGAAAGGTGGTCTACAAATATCATTCGTTCGATCAATTATCCAATAAAAGGCAGCCATGAGGGTGCTGGTAGGAGTGTGGTGACTGCAGTCTAGAACACCAGCTGTGTTGCTTACCAGGTTGTTCCTTAGCTCAATTTAAGGTGATGATTTTTAATTTAAAAACCCTAATCTGGGACTAGCTTTGTCCAGAATAATGTTAATAACAGCATTAGAGGGCCTGCTGTCTAGTCAACTTTCAAATATGATTGTTTTGGTGAGTACCAGAGACAGAACCCTTTTTGTAGTTGTATCTCAGTTATATATTTTCCTGTATGGAGAAATCTGACAAAACACCTTTTCTTTGTGCTTGTAAGCATGCTCTGAGTACATTTTTTCCAGGAAGATCTGTTTTGCTTAGTTCCTTAGATCTGTTTAAGCTGACTGGCTTTTATAAAACTTTTCAGCCATGTTGGTTTTGTTATTTGTGTTATTGTGCTGTTATTTATATCTTTACCTTGTTGCTTTGTTGTAGGCCACCTTGTAAGAACCCTTTCTAGAACTGTGTATAAGCTTATAAAATGAAAACAAACACAATTGTTGGTGCTGAGAGCCAGTGTGGTATAGTGGTTAAGAGCGTGGAACTGGGACTCAGGAGTCCTGGGCTCAAGTCCCCACTTGATCATGGAGCCAACAGGGTGACTCTCAGTCCAACCCATCTCACAGGGTTCTTGGTGTGTGGATAAGTCAGAGCAAGAAGAGGGGAATGATGTAAGCCACTTTAAATTCATAAAGAAATAAGTGGGATATAAATCCAAGAAATAAATAGTGCCCTACGCTTTTACAGTTTGCAATAAATCTTATGCCATGATATTTTGATCTGTGTCTCTTCCATATTTTTGGACTGCAAATTTCATCAACCCCTACCATATCCATGCTGAATAGGGCACAGGGGAGATGAAATTCAACAACATCCAAGGAACCATAGGCTCCCCACTCCACCTAAACAGCCCTTCTGAAAGCCACACAGATACAATTTAAATCTATGAGTTCATTCCCACACAGCCCGAATCCCCTGCAAAATGAAATCAGAAGTAAAAAGAAGAATCAGAAGAAATTAACGGTTTCATTCTAGATAGATCTATGAGACAACACGGAAGAATACAGGCAGACAAAGCCCCTTTGTCACTGCCAGCAAAGTTCCAGCTAAAGGCCTAAGGTCACATGAAGCTTACACTGCTAAAGCTAAGTTTGGCTTGGCTTGGCTACTGCCTGGAGGAGAGACTGCCTGGAAACCCAACACAAGCTATCCTGTGCTTCCCAAAGGAAGAATAAGTATGATAAACTACACATCTGTGTACACATCTGTGCTAAATTCCACGAGAGAGCCACCACCTCTGACTTCATGCGTCAGTGTACAAGAATGAGTTTCTACATACATAGATACATTATAGGATGTGGATTCTCAGATACAATCTTAAGCTAAGCAATGAAATATATTTAAAGTGCCTTCGGAAGAAGGATTTGATGGAGATAAGCAATTCCTCTGGATCATTACCAGTATGCAATATGCACAGGCTGGCAGTTCCTTTTTTTTTTTTTTTTTAAGGTGCTCCTTTTAAAAAAATATAACATAATTTAAAAAGACAAGTATAAAATACATCATAAAAATTTAAAACAACACAAAATACAGAAAAAACAAAACAAAACACAACTAGTGCACCTGGCCACTGGAACTGTGGCTACATAATATTTATACCTTCCTTTCTTTCCTCCACCTTACTTCTACTTAATATTTATACCTTCATTTCTTTCATCCTCCCCCTAACTTTCCACTCTTTCAGGAATACTCCTTCCATCCAGAATTGAATCAACTGAAGGTTTAGTACCCTTCCCTTTTACTAATACATATTCAATTAACGAACTCCATATATCATTAAAATAATTCTTCTTTATCAGTCCTTTTTCATCCTATCCCACATGTCAACTTCTCATTAAAAGCTATAGTCCAAATTTTTTTATACCATTCAATTAACTGAAGATCCCGCTTCTCCTCCAATTCTTTGCTATTATCAATTTTGCTGCTGTTACCAAATTTATTATTAATTCTTTAATGTCCATTTCCATCTATTTCTGTCAAATATTAACAGCAAAGCTATTTCAGGAACTGCTTC